AAGCCTTTGACACAGTTAATCACAGTATTTTACTAAATAAATTAAGAGAGCTCAAAATGTCAGCAGAAGCCTTCCAGTGGTTTGGGTCTTATTTGGGTGGGAGACAGCAATGTGTAAGGGGCAAAGGGGTGAAGTCATCTATGCATTCTAACAATATTGGAGTACCTCAAGGGTCTGTCCTTGGCCCATTGTTGTTTACAGTGTACATAAACAATCTTCCAGATTGCTGCCCAGGGGTTAACTGCCAGTTATATGCAGATGACACAGTCATCTATGTGTAACGAAATTAGCTCAGTTTATGAATATTAATAATCAATAACAAATAGTTATTATTAAATATTAACATTCAGGCTTAACCTTCGGTCAATTTGGTTAAACAAATATATAATTGTATCTGATCCCGCCGCTCGGCCGAGCGGACTCTCAGATTATGAATATTAATTATTAACAATAACGAATTATTGTTAATCATTAATATTCTGCATTAACTTATTGTTAATTTGACCAAATAAATATACCCAGACCTCGCCGCTGGTCCGAGCGGACTCTGTACGGATCTATTTAATTGAGAGGGAATTATTACTACTCCTTGTGAGGTAGCTTAATCATCCATAAGTTTTGATTAACTTAAATAGCAGTCGGTAGCAAAAGATCTATCATTTCAGTGACTTTTTCTGTGAGGCAAACAAAAACAATCCAATGCGATTATAATGAGGTTTATTGACTAATCTAACACATATCAAACAAACATAAACTGAGTATAGAAATATATGGGCATAACATATAACAGACAAACGTATACTAGTTCTAAATAGGCTATAAACGGATATATGGAACATATAACAAAACTGAAAGAGACAGAAAAGTGGGGAAATACAGAAATTAGGTACAGAAATTTCGCTCAGTTCAACCACACGTAACGAGAATCACAAGTTGATCATAAAGACCTTAAAAAGGGGCACAGCTTAGAACGCATATGGAGAAATATACTTGCATTTACTCCCTTGTGTCGTGACAACCCGTTCAGCATTCTCGACCAATGATTTCAGGGCAAAGTTTGAGCGCGAAACCTCTCTTTGTCTCTAGGCTGTTCGTATGCAAATTTTGAGACCTTCCACAGCCTAAGGATGGTTTTAAATTCAGGGCATTAAAGAATGCAGGCCGTACAAGTTATTATCATGCTCTATGCATCATGTGTTGTAAAATGTCAAGGGCATTCTAATGACACCAAACACTCCACAAATATATCAACAAAAAAGGTACATCAAAAGTACATCAACATAATTCCCACATCCTTAAATCATCGATGCTTTTAAAAGGCCTGAAAATACGAATGTGTATAGTCTATATGAGGGATTGTACACATTACAAAATTTAAGTGTAATTAAACAAGAGATTTGGGTTCTAAATGTCTTTGTTTAATGTTGAGGAATGTATTTTGTCTGTGAGCAGAAGGCTGACTAAAGATGTTTTTTTTTCTCTCTTTTATCTTATCTGCCATGTTCTTTTGAAGTCTGATGAGAGTGGTTTAGGACAGTTTGAACTCTGGAAATTGAACCCAGACCGTTTTCATGGAATGTTAAATGGAATGTTTACCTCCAGAATATATGTTACAATATATGTTACTAGTTATGTTACATATGTGTCAGCTAAAACACCTTGCGGGGCAGGTGAGCAACTGACCCAGGCTTTACAAGACATTTCAAGATGGCTTGAACTGTCTCATTTAACATTCAATGTCGAGATAACAGTTTCTATGTGTTTTTCTATAAGAAATAGGCCTGCACGGGATACATTTAAGGTGCTGATAAAAAATAAAGTAATTAAAGAAGTGAATGACGTTAAGTATCTTGGCATAACTCTAGACATTAATTTAAAATTTGACAGTCGTGTTAAAAATATGAGTTAAAACGTTAAGCCAAGTCTAAACTGTTTTCGTTTTATTAGAAGGCTTTTAACATATCACACTGCAAAATTATACATGCACACAATGATATTCTCTCACTTGACGTATTGCATTAGATCTCGGTCACAAGCCTCTTTTACTACATTGAAGCCTATTGACTCAATATATAAACAAGCAGTTAAAATTATGGACTTAAAGCCTATGCGATGACATCATTGTGATGTTTTACGTAAACATAAACTTTTTAGTTTTGATAGTTTTATTCAATTTAGTTATCTTAAATTGGTTTTTAAATGTTTAAATCTGAATCATGTTCCAATCCTGTTTTCTGAGCTAATCAATCGAAATCAAACCTCTCACAGAGTTACACGGGCAACTGCTAATTGTGACTGTCTAGTATCAAAGTGTAAGACCTCTGGTCAATCTGTCTTCTCTGTAAAGGGAACCAAACTGTGGAATGATTTACCGGTTAACTTAAAATCAGAAAGTAATTTAAATATTTTTAGGAGTGCTCTTAACAAGTGGTTAAAAACAAAACAGCAGTGTTTGCACAAATAGTCTACTGTTAGTTGGTTGGATCATGTCGCCTTTGCTTTTGCCTGCAGTAATTTTAAGTAAATGATTGTAATGTTGTAAATGTTTTATTATATTTCCATTATATCAATTTTAAGCCTCCTGTGGACAGGTGTTGAGAATTAGCAAGTTTGCTAAAACACTTAAACAAATGCATTTGGTTGTCCACTGTCATTGTGATGTCCATGTCAAATAAATAGATAAATAAATAAATCTAGGCATTGATGAATTAATCTTCAGACCGTTCAGAACAGAAAGCAGCTAATATGATATAAATCTCCCAAATTATGACGTCACATCCTGTAGTGGATTATTTTTTGGAGGATGATGAGCAAGACCCATTCTTGGATAAAGCTGATGGAAGAATTTGAACAAAAGTTTGTCTCATATACGTACCTTTTCATCTGCTAAATTTAATGCTATCAACTGTACAGCTGGTGCAGACACATAAAAACACAATAGTCATTTATATTGTTTACATGTATCTATATTACATTTATATTACATTTATATATTTATTGACATTTTCTACTGATATTTGATTTGACAAATAAAGCTGCTGAAGCACCCAATAGTTTATTTTTTTTATATTTATCAGTTTTACAAAACTTAAAGAATATTTCCATAAATGTGTCAAACATGTCTGCTGTTTATTTTACTGTCCTGATAAGAAGCCTGCTAGAGAGCAAGACATCCTAAAATTGATGAGTGTGTGTGTGTGTGTGTGCTGTACTGAAGGAGACATGAAGACTGGAGCTGAATTTCCCCTCTGGTTCTCTTGACCACAGAAATATCCTCTTGTTATGTCTGACCTTTGTTTTCTTGTTGCCCAAATTATTCGAGATTTTGTTTTCAATTGTATGCATGTGCAGATTTCAAGTTGATCTATGTTAGAACCAATCAGGTTAAAACATCTATATGTATGCGTCTCACAGTTAGAGACGTTATGTCAGACTACAAGTGTTGTTGATTTGATATTATATACGGATATTCACAATATCATATTTGTCTACATATATATCACATATCTTTGAGTCTTTCTGCCCTCTGCTGTTCCTGACTGTAATTATAATAATAATAAACGTGAATCCACTGTACTTATATGGAACTTTATTAGCACATTGCTCCAACATTACAATGATAATATAACATTAGGAAGTAATAACTTTATTAACACATTGCTACAACAATATAACACATTATAACATCAAAAACTGTCCGTAACGCTAAATCAATGGGAGCCCTGAGCTTGTTTCTTTGCAACGAGATGGTTCCATTTCGGGGTAATAGCAAAAGCTCCTTTCACACATACAGACCTTTCCGGAAAATTACCGGCAATTTCCCAGAAAGGTGTGTATGTGTGAACAGGGCCTTTTTAAAAATACTGATAAATTCGTTCTGGCTATTGTCCGGAAAGAAAAGTTGTAACATTACCGGTAATTTGCTTAAATGCTGCGCTGCGTAAACGCAGAAGGAAAATTGCCGGAAAGAGAGCGTGCACGTCTAGAATGTGCTGACGTAAGACGTCTGCTTTAGCCAATGAGAACAGTCAGACACATTCACGTCTGCGCGGTTTATGAGAATAAAAGCCATTGAATATTTTTCCAGACACATTTAAGTGCTAGAAATTAGGCAGATAACGTTTATATGTTCATCTTAATGCCAACCGTGTAAATAATTATCGATAAGATGCTTATGATAAGCCGTTGTTTGTTTACCTTCAAGCTTTGCATGTGCCTGTGAAAAAGCCTGTGAGCGCCTGCACACACACATATCATGCAAGTCCAATAAGCCTCTGTTCACGCTCTGTCCCCACAAATCCAGTTTGGCTTAAAATGCAGCTACTTTATCTGCCAACTTAAAGATAATTAATTCTTGTGCGGCCCGGAACTGATTGATCCACGAACCGGTACCGGTCCGCAGCCAGGGGGTTGGGGACCACTGGCCTACAATATTATTCATTGATTCATTTTCTTTTCAGATAAGTCCCTTTATTAATCCAGGCTTGCAACCGGCAACTTATCCAGCTAATGTTTAACGCAGCAGACGCCCTTCCAGCTGCAACCAATCTCTGGGAAACATCCACACACACTCAAACATTACAGACAATTTAGCCTACTCAATTCACCTGTACTGCATCCGCATGTTTTAGGACTGTGGGGGAAACCCATGCGAACGCAGGGAGAACATGCATACCCCACACAGAAACGCCAACTGACCCAGCAGAGGCTCGAACCAGCGACCTTCTTGCTGTAAGGCGACAGCACTACCTACTGCCTCTTATATATATATATAAATATAAATATAAAAAAAATATTATTATGAGTACGTATGCTCATTTTGCCTGGAAATGTGCATACTCACCTACAACATAATAGGAGAAAACAGTACGTGAAGAAAGAAGTACGTTTGAAACTTCAGTGATCAAAACAGGGAAGGTGAGAAATCCCCGGATGCCTTTCTGCTTCAGACCAGACTCCAGAGTGTTCTCAGATGGTTACTTATCTATCCCAGGAGGCCATGGGACAGCATTCGGCACGGAGAAAAAGAAGCAGGAGAAGAGAATACGTCATAATATTGAGAGAAAACGGGACGCGGACGCTTTGAAACGTAAGTTATTAGAAAGCAAAGAGAAGCCCCCCTGAGTTAAATAGCATGTGTTGAGCTAACGTTAGTGTACAGTGAACTGTAGAGTTGATAATTATTATATGTCTGACATAAATATATGAGAAGTGTTTTGATCAGCAAATGACAACATTAAACAGACACCTGAGTGAGTGATGTGTTTGTGCTGATGTAGAATTCACTGTTGTCGACACTGTTTACATTAGCTAATGTTAATATTGATAAATGATAATTCATTTGTTTTATGTGTTCATTTGTACAGTATAGGTGATAATGAGGAATTTATTTATTTTTCTTTATTTTCGAACACAAAATGACATCAGTCTTTAAAAATGACTTCTTTGTTTTGCATGATTTAAAATGTCGTCAGACTGGTGCCGTGTGCATTGCGGATGAAGAAGCGCAGCAGTGTGCTGGAGATGATGTTGGAGATGCTGTAGTGCTGTGGACGAGATCCTGAGAGACGTTGCTGTGGTCTCTTCATCTTCAAAATCGGTTTCTCAGGCATGGACAGCTTCATGTCTCAACCCCGTTTTAGTCTCACTGCATAAGGGATGATGCTGATGATGATGACAAACACAGATAAAGACCTGATGATCATCTGCAGAACCAGCTCGGAGATGCAGCAGAACATGCAGTTAGAGCAAGTTTGAATAAAGCTTTAATTGTTTCATGTGTTGTGGACTTATTTGTCTTGGTTATTTTTATTCATTCTTTTAATCATATATTAATGTTTCCTTTTATGGTCAATAAATGAAATGATAATTTTTCTATAATGTATACATTATTTCATATTTTGACAGAAAATGAAGATGTACTCACATTGGCTACATTTGTCTAGTGACTAATAATGCATCACTTTGGATGGCCTACAGAAAGTAATAGCACACTATTGATGCCATTAGAATAAAATATTACAGTAATTCTCCGTATATTCTGGTATATATATATATATATATATATATATATATATATATATATATATATATATATATATATATATATATATATTCAGATGCAAAAACCTTTAAATGCCATTTGTTCTAAAATTTTGCAACCTCTGGTGTGTATGTTCAGTAAATTCACTTTTATGGCAAAAAAAAAAAAAAAAAGGTTTTTGCATTGCCTTTACAGTGACAACTGAAAAAATATTGGAGGCTGAGGAAAAATGCTAATTTTAAAAGAAAGTTTTTTTTTGCATCTGAATGCTATATATATATATATATATATATATATATATATATATATATATATATATATATATATATATATATATATATATATAAGAAAAAGGCGTTGAAAACCAGGTACATTTGTCACGTTACTGATGCGAGGTGCTTCTGTCCCTGTTATCTTATTTATTATTATAGGATTGTTAAAATTGTTAATAATTAAATAACTTATAATTCATACAGGATCTGAAAAACGTGGCTGTATTGTTTGCAATTAACAAAAATTACGTAAATGTAATGGGTTTCTTGTATTATGAGATTGTATGCACACAAATGTACAATGATAAGGTTAAATATTTCTGCGTCAGGAAAACAACCGAGATTAAAGCAGGTTACTTGTGGATGAAAAATGTTATACAAACAATAAAGACAACAACAAATTCATGTGAACTTTAAAAAAAGAAATATTTATTATTTTAAATCAAGATTTATAAAACCTGCAATTTCTTTAAAGTTGTTGCGCTTCTAACGTCAGTCACATGATAACGAAAACATGGCAGATGAGATACGATTCTATTCATACTCAACGAGATTTGGCTGTTGAGTGCCTACTCTTTTAGTCCTCGTTAAGTAAGTACTTATTGAAATTGAGTACCTACTCATGCGGTTTCGAACGCAGCCTAGGTGTTTCTCACAACTGTTAAAAAAACCTGTATCCTCCTGTTGTCCTCTGTGGGAATGCAGACCGGTGTGGTGCACAGGTGTCATTTATTACCACTCACGCCAGCAGCCTATAAATATCAATCAGTAAAGACAACATGCACAGTGCCAGACGACAGCAGAATCATGGTTTTTCTCAGTTTATTGCTAACCTGTGAGTTTCTTTTTGGGTTTGACAAGCAGATGTTCAGTGAATGTACTTTTTAGCTGTTGTGATGGGAATAGTTTCCCTGTGGCTCAAGTTTTGTGTTGATTACAATGTGAGTATGATTAGCAGTAGACCAGTGTCTTAATCAGTTCTTCGGTGTTTGTTTTTCAGTGATTTTACTGAACTCAAGCCTGCTGATATCAGCAAGTGGTGGACATGATGGTCACGAACATGGTCATGGTGGACATGATCATGGTCGACATGATCATGGTCACCGTCATGACTATGACTACTGTAGGAGGTCCTCTAGTAAGAGTTTTTTTGTTCTAAAAAAAACTTATTTAATATCTTTAACTGAGTAATGCTTGACATTTTTATTTCTTTGCTCCATTAATGCTCTAATGTGTGACCCTTTATTTCTCAGACACTGTAACTGCATGTGAGGGCTCTATCCTGCGTTTGTCCTGTCCTGGTAAGATGAAGTCGTAGTCCATCAAATTAGAGTTTTGAACATACTGCTGTTTTTAATGTTACATGGGCTTTTTCCTCCCCGTGTAGTATATTCTAAAATCAGGGTCCTTGCTGCAAACTATGGCCGTACAGATAGAAAAACCTGCATTAAGAACCGTCCACCAGGTGAAATCCGAAATACCAACTGCCGTTCATCCAGCTCCCTGTCCATAGTGTCATCATGGTATGGATTTAACAGACCTTTGTGTTTATTAACTGATATCTGGTTGCTAATGGGTCAGTTTGAGCATATTGTAGCTACAGCTGGAATGAATTGAGTCGCGTTCTAATTCAAATGGTTTTTATGAATTGTCATTGTGTAGGTGTGATGGACGTCAGAGCTGCAATGTACCAGCCACCAACAGTGTATTCTCTGATCCCTGTTATGGCACATACAAGTACCTGGCAGTCAAATACTGCTGCACGCGTAAGTTATTATACTAGGCAAAGAAGCTGCATAACCAGTTTTTCGCTTGCCTTAAGCTTTGGGTTCATTTCTCTTGCAGGTCGTAGGAGCTGATTTTGTCTGATTTCTCTGCCAGCGTCTCCCCTACATTGACGTTTAACTTTTTTAAATAAATGCTTAATGCAAAGAGTTAGTGGGTTGTTTTTATTTTTGATAAATTGCTATAAGGTGTCTTTTTTTTTTTTTTTTTTTTTTTTTTTTTTTTTTTTTTTTTTTGATCCGGTTACTACAGACTAGGTTTACTCAGGCAGGGATGCTCAGACCTGTTCCTGGAGATTTAGTCAAGTTCCGGCCCTCAATCACATCTCAACCAATTAATGATGACCTAAACGGCACTCGATTAAAGGCAGGTGTGTTTTGATGAGTTGCAACTAAAATCTGCAGAAAGTTTGGTTCAGGGTTGAGCACCCCTGTTGTAAAATACAGTCAGATTTTAGCTGACAAAGGTTGTATTGCTGTAGTCCTGACTTGTCAAACATTGGAGAAGGAGTTTTTGTAACTGCTGTAGGATCTGTCTGGTGAGGATTGCTTGTTCCGACCAAATTAGGATAACAGAATACTGGCTGGATTTAAATAATGAGTGACACAATTACATTTCTCAGAGTATGAGCTTAAAGGAAGTTGCAATTTTTATTTTATATATTTTTTTTTAACTTAAAAGCAACGTTTACCCAAACTATGAGCTTTTATTGGTGTTTGTTTTGCCAAAGCAGTTAAATTTTACATAAATTAACAAACATATGTAATAAAATTATTTTTTTTATATATATTTAGTTCTTAATGTCTTATTTTAAATATTTATGCAGATATATGCTAACGATATAAAAGGGTGACTTAATCACGCTCTTACTAATATGAAGGTGAAACAATACGAGGCGCTATTTCACTACTATGGAGAAATGCTATAAATCCGATTTTTACCTCTCTTACTTTGGTCATTTGACCTGTGAAACAATTGGCGTGGTTGGGAGGTAACTTTTTCTCTTGGCTGTTAAAGTGATACTTAAGGATCCTGACACGAGCGTGCCTGTGGTGTGAGTTTTCTCCACTGTGTCTATTACAGATTACCTGTGATAACAGTGTATTATGCGCATACAGACTGTAACCGCGGCCGTTCTTCCTGCCATCAGTTAACAGCGCTTTTATTTTCAAGTTGATTGATTGGCTTTTCTCTGGAGCAGGTGAAGACAATGACCAGTCATAGGGGTGTAAGACCTTGCCTGTCAGCGCTCAAAAAGCAAGCGGGATAACATTTACATTAGTTTATTTGCTATATACGGTCATGTTGTCATCTGTGCGTGTGTTGGAGTTTTGTTTCATACATTCAAAAAGAGTGTTTTCTTTGAGCAGGTCAAATTCAGGGTAGGCCGACAGTTCATATCTTACTGCTGTATTAAAGAATAAAATTGTATTACAAATAATATATGAAAATAAAAATATTTATAAAAATTTAATAAAAAAAATTCTAGTGTTGAAAAAAAAAAAATCTATGTATGGAAAACATCATCAATGCACCAAGATATCGAATTAAATTGGATTGTTGGCATTATAATTGTAACTGAACCAAATCGTGAGACCAGTGTAGATTTCAGAGCCCTACTCTTTACTATTGAAAATTGACGGAAAGAAAGCGTGCACGTCTAGAATGTGCTGACGTGAGACGTCTGCTTTAGCCAATGAGGACAGTCAGACACATTCACGTCTGCGCGGTTTATGAGAATAAAAGCCTTTGAATATTTTTCCAGACACATTTAGGTGCTAGAAATTAGGCAGATAACGTTTATATGTTCATCTTAATGCCAACCGTGTAAATAATTATCGATAAGATGCTTATGATAAGCCGTTGTTTGTTTACCTTCAAGCTTTGCATGTGCCCGTGAAACAGCCCGTGAGCGCCTGCACACACATATCATGCAAGTCCAATAAGCCTCTGTTCACACGCCGTCCTCACAAATCCAGTTTGGCTTAAAATGCAGCTACTTTATCTGCCAACTTAAAGATAATTAATTCTTGTGCGGCCCGGAACTGATTGATCCACGAACCGGTACCGGTCCGCGGCCAGGGGGTTGGGGACCACTGGCCTACAATATTATTCATTCATTCATTTTCTTTTCAGATAAGTCCCTTTATTAATCCAGGCTTGCAACCGGCAACTTATCCAGCTCGTGTTTAACGCAGCAGACGCCCTTCCAGCTGCAACCAATCTCTGGGAAACATCCACACACACTCAAACACTACAGACAATTTAGCCTACCCAATTCACCTGTACTGCATCCGCATGTTTTAGGACTGTGGGGGAAACCCATGCGAACGCAGGGAGAACATGCATACCCCACACAGAAACGCCAACTGACCCAGCAGAGGCTCGAACCAGCGACCTTCTTGCTGTAAGGCGACAGCACTACCTACTGCCTCTTATATATATATATATATATATATATATAAATATAAATATAAAAAAAATATATTATTATGAGTACATATACTCATTTTGCCTGGAAATGTGCATACTCACCTACAACATAATAGGAGAAAACAGTACGTGAAGAAAGAAGTACATTTGAAACTTCAGTGATCAAAACAGGGTAGGTGAGAAATCCCCGGATGCCCTACTGCTTCAGACCAGACTCCAGAGTGTTCTCAGATGGTTACTTATCTATCCCAGGAGGCCATGGGACAGCATTCGGCACGGAGAAAAAGAAGCAGGAGAAGAGGATACGTCATAATATTGAGAGAAAACGAGATGCGGACGCTTTGAAACGTAAGTTATTAGAAAGCAAAGAGAAGCCCCCCTGAGTTAAATCGCATGTGTTGAGCTAACGTTAGTGTACAGTGAACTGTAGAGTTGATGATTATTAAATGTCTGACATAAATATATGAGAAGTGTTTTGATCAGCAAATGACAACATTAAACAGACACCTGAGTGAGTGATGTGTTTGTGCTGATGTAGAATTCACTATTGTCGACACTGTTTACATTAGCTAATGTTAATATTGATAAATGATAATTCATTTGTTTTATGTGTTCATTTGTACAGTATAGGTGATAATGAGGAATTTATTTATTTTTCTTTATTTTCGAACACAAAATGACATCAGTCTTTAAAAATGACTTCTTTGTTTTGCATGATTTAAAATGTCGTCAGACTGGTGCCGTGTGCATTGCGGATGAAGAAGCGCAGCAGTGTGCTGGAGATGATGTTGGAGATGCTGTAGTGCTGTGGACGAGATCCTGAGAGACGTTGCTGTGGTCTCTTCATCTTCAAAATCGGTTTCTCAGGCATGGACAGCTTCATGTCTCAACCCCGTTTTAGTCTGACTGCATAAGGGATGATGCTGATGATGATGACAAACACAGATAAAGACCTGATGATCATCTGCAGAACCAGCTCGGAGATGCAGCAGAACATGCAGTTAGAGCAAGTTTGAATAAAGCTTTAATTGTTTCATGTGTTGTGGACTTATTTGTCTTGGTTATTTTTATTCATTCTTTTAATCATATATTAATGTTTCCTTTTATGGTCAATAAATGAAATGATAATTTTTCTACAATGTATACATTATTTCATATTTTGACAGAAAATGAAGATGTACTCACATTGGCTACATTTGTCTAGTGACTAATAATGCATCACTTTGGATGGCCTACAGAAAGTAATAGCACACTATTGATGCCATTAGAATAAAATATTACAGTAATTCTCCATATATTCTGGTATATATATATATATATATATATATATATATATATATATATATATATATATATATATATATATATATATTTATATATATATATATATATATATATTCAGATGCAAAAACCTTTAAATGCCATTTTTTCTAAAATTTTGCAAACTCTGGTGTGTATGTTCAGTAAATTCACTTTTATGGCAAAAAAAAAAAAAAGGTTTTTGCATTGCATATATATATAAGAAAAAGGCGTTGAAAACCAGGTACATTTGTCACGTTACTGATGCGAGGTGCTTCTGTCCCTGTTATCTTATTTATTATTATAGGATTGTTAAAATTGTTAATAATTAAATAACTTATAATTCATACAGGATCTGAAAAACGTGGCTGTATTGTTTGCAATTAACAAAAATTACGTAAATGTAATGGGTTTCTTGTATTATGAGATTGTATGCACACAAATGTACAATGATAAGGTTAAATATTTCTGCGTCAGGAAAACAACCGAGATTAAAGCAGGTTACTTGTGGATGAAAAATGTTATACAAACAATAAAGACAACAACAAATTCATGTGAACTTTAAAAAAAGAAATATTTATTATTTTAAATCAAGATTTATAAAACCTGCAATTTCTTTAAAGTTGTTGCGCTTCTAACGTCAGTCACATGATAACGTAAACATGGCAGATGAGATACAATTCTATTCATACTCAACGAGATTTGGCTGTTGAGTGCCTACTCTTTTAGTCCTCGTTAAGTAAGTACTTATTGAAATTGAGTACCTACTCATGCGGTTTCGAACGCAGCCTAGGTGTTTCTCACAACTGTTAAAAAAACCTGTATCCTCCTGTTGTCCTCTGTGGGACTGCAGACCGGTGTGGCGCACAGGTGTCATTTATTACCACTCACGCCAGCAGCCTATAAATATCAATCAGTAAAGACAACATGCACAGTGCCAGACGACAGCAGAATCATGGTTGCTCTCAGTTTATTGCTAACCTGTGCGTTTCTTTTTGGGTTTGACAAGCAGATGTTCAGTGAATGTACTTTTTAGCTGTTGTGATGGGAGTAGTTTCCCTGTGGCTCAAGTTTTGTGTTGATTACAATGTGAGTATGATTAGCAGTAGACCAGTGTCTTAATCAGTTCTTCGGTGTTTGTTTTTCAGTGATTTTACTGAACTCAAGCCTGCTGATATCAGCAAGTGGTGGACATGATGGTCACGAACATGGTCACGGTGGACATGATCATGGTCGACATGATCATGGTCACCGTCATGACTATGACTACTGTAGGAGGTCCTCTAGTAAGAGTTTGTTGTTCTAAAAACTTATTTAATATCTTTAACTGAGTAATGCTTGACATTTTTATTTCTTTGCTCCATTAATGCTCTAATGTGTGACGCTTTATTTCTCAGACACTGTAACTGCATGTGAGGGCTCTATCCTGCGTTTGTCCTGTCCTGGTAAGATGAAGTCGTAGTCCATCAAATTAGAGTTTTGAACATACTGCTGTTTTTAATGTTACATGGGCTTTTTCCTCCCCGTGTAGTATATTCTAAAATCAGGGTCCTTGCTGCAAACTATGGCCGTACAGATAGAAAAACCTGCATTAAGAACCGTCCACCAGGTGAAATCCGAAATACCAACTGCCGTTCATCCAGCTCCCTGTCCATAGTGTCATCATGGTATGGATTTAACAGACCTTTGTGTTTATTAACTGATATCTGGTTGCTAATGGGTCAGTTTGAGCATATTGTAGCTACAGCTGGAATGAATTGAGTCCTGTTCTAATTCAAATGGTTTTCATGAATTGTCATTGTGTAGGTGTGATGGACGTCAGAGCTGCAATGTACCAGCCACCAACAGTGTATTCTCTGATCCCTGTTATGGCACATACAAGTACCTGGCAGTCAAATACTGCTGCACGCGTAAGTTGTTATACTAGGCAAAGAAGCTGCATAACCAGTTTTTCGCTTGCCTTAAGCTTTGGGTTCATTTCTCTTGCAGGTCGTAGGAGCTGATTTTGTCTGATTTCTCTGCCAGCGTCTCCCCTACATTGACGTTTAACTTTTTAAAATAAATGCTTAATGCAAAGAGTTAGTGGGTTGTTTTTATTTTTGATAAATTGCTATAAGGTGTTTTTTTTTTTTTTTTTTTTTTTTTTTTTTTTTTGGATCCGGTTACTACAGACTAGGGGTCTGTTCTTCGTACCTCGCTAAAATGATCTAAGATTATTTGGCAGATCCTGGATCTTTTCATCTCGATAACTGATCTCTCGCTAATTTGGTTCTTCAAACGAGTTCGCGAATCAGATTAGAATGTCTGGATGAACTGATCTGAGATCGCTGCTTGTGTTATGAAGGACAGATCTATCGATCCTCGAAATCATGATCAGCAATGCAACGATTGGCTGACGGCACAGCAGCGTAATGACATCATCTGATTAATATTCAATTATCCATGTGAGCAAAATTACATCAAATTAGCAGTCGACGGTTTGTTAAATATGACACTCAATAACCTAACACATTTGTTGTGAGCTGCAGGCTTTACTCTTTCATTTGTCAAGACAAGAGTATTCATCATGTATTTCAATGCAAGTCAATGTATTTAGTTCTACATTTAGAAAAGATTTTCTTTATTATAGTAGCCGTTTTTTAATCGGTGTAAAGAATAACTGGTTGTTTACAAAAGCATTTTCATATTGGTAAAGGCGTCTGCAACTTTTGTGAAGCATCAAATCACTGGCATAATAACTATCAAAACATGTTTATGACTGCATAAATGTATTATTGCTTTAAAAAAAGTCACATATTGTGCATTTCTATTATACACAATTTGTACTAAAGCGATCTAAAAAGTTCATATCAATAAGTTTTCTCTTTGCACCAGATGGCAGTCTTTGTACTTTCATTTCGAGGGTGCAGATTGCATACGTTTTATTAATATGTATAACTTTATTTATTTTATTAATGACTATAACTTTATATATATAGTTAAAAAATATGTACCATTTTCCCATAACTACTACTGTAAGAAAATATCAGAATTCGGAACATACTTTCTATCTTTGCTTGAACTGAGCCGATCTAATGCTGTTTATATGAATTGAACCTGCTTCTGATCAGGTTTGACCAAGCAGAACTGTTGCCATGACAACAACTCTCGGATCAGCTTTGAAGAACGAAACGATCCTGGATCGTGTCAAATCGTCAACATCCAAATCCAGCTAACTGAATAATCCACGTACGAAGAACGGACCCCAGGTTTACTCAGGCAGGGATGCTCAGACCTGTTCCTGGAGATTTAGTCAAGTTCCGGCCCTCAATCACATCTCAACCAATTAATGATGACCTAAACGGCACTCTATTAAAGGCAGGTGTGTTTTGATGAGTTGCAACTAAAATCTGCAGAAAGTTTGGTTCAGGGTTGAGCACCCCTGTTGTAAAATACAGTCAGATTTTAGCTGACAAAGGTTGTATTGCTGTAGTCCTGACTTGTCAAACATTGGAGAAGGAGTTTTTGTAACTGCTGTAGGATCTGTCTGGTGAGGATTGCTTGTTCCGACCAAATTAGGATAACAGAATACTGGCTGGATTTAAATAATGAGTGACACAATTACATTTCTCAGAGTATGAGCTTAAAGGAAGTTGCAATTTTTATTTTATATATATATTTTTTTTTAACTTTAAAAGCAACTTTTACCCAAACTATGAGCTTTTATTGGTGTTTGTTTTGCCAAAGCAGTTAAATTTTACATAAATTAACAAACATATGTAATAAAATTATTTTTTTTATATATATATAGTTCTTAATGTCTTTTAAATATTTATGCAGATATATGCTAACGATGTAAAAGGGTGACTTAATCACGCTCTTACTAATATGAAGGTGAAACAATACGAGGTGCTATTTCACTACTATGGAGAAATGCTATAAATCAGATTTTTACCTCTCTTACTTTGGTCATTTGACCTGTCAAACATTTGGCGTGGTTGGGAGGTAACTTTTTCTCTTGGCTGTTAAAGTGATACTTAAGGATCCTGACACGAGCGTGCCTGTGGTGTGAGTTTTCTCCACTGTGTCTATTACAGATTACCTGTGATAACAGCGTATTATGCGCATACAGACTGTAAGCGCGGCCGTTCTTCCTGCCATCAGTTAACAGCGCTTTTATTTTCAAGTTGATTGATTGGCTTTTCTCTGGAGCAGGTGAAGACATTGACCAGTCATAGGGGTGTAAGACCTTGCCTGTCAGCGCTCAAAAAGCAAGCGGGATAACATTTACATTAGTTTATTTGCTATATACGGTCATGTTGTCTTCTGTGCGTGTGTTGGAGTTTTGTTTCATACATTCAAAAAGAGTGTTTTCTTTGAGCAGGTCAAATTCAGGGTAGGCCGACAGTTCATATATCTTACTGCTGTATTAAAGAATAAAATTGTATTACAAATAATATATGAAAATAAATATTTATAAAAATTTAATAAAAAAAATTCTAGTGTTGAAAAAAAAAAATCTATGTATGGAAAACATCATCAATGCACCAAGTTATCGAATTAAATCGGATTGTTGGCATGATAATTGTAACTGAACCAAATCGTGAGACCAGTGTAGATTTCAGAGCCCTACTCTTTACTATTGAAAATTGACGGAAAGAGAGCGTGCACGTCTAGAATGTGCTGACGTGAGACGTCTGCTTTAGCCAATGAGGACAGTCAGACACATTCACGTCTGCGCGGTTTATGAGAATAAAAGCCATTGAATATTTTTCCAGACACATTTAGGTGCTAGAAATTAGGCAGATAACGTTTATATGTTCATCTTAATGCCAACCGTGTAAATAATTATCGATAAGATGCTTATGATAAGCCGTTGTTTGTTTACCTTCAAGCTTTGCATGTGCCCGTGAAACAGCCCGTGAGCGCCTGCACACACACATATCATGCAAGTCCAATAAGCCTCTGTTCACACGCCGTCCTCACAAATCCAGTTTGGCTTAAAATGCAGCTACTTTATCTGCCAACTTAAAGATAATTAATTCTTGTGCGGCCCGGAACTGATTGATCCACGAACCGGTACCGGTCCGCGGCCAGGGGGTTGGGGACCACTGGCCTACAATATTATTCATTTATTCATTTTCTTTTCAGATAAGTCCCTTTATTAATCCAGGCTTGCAACCGGCAACTTATCCAGCTCGTGTTTAACGCAGCAGACGCCCTTCCAGCTGCAACCAATCTCTGGGAAACATCCACACACACTCAAACACTACAGACAATTTAGCCTACTCAATTCACCTGTACTGCATCCGCATGTTTTAGGACTGTTGGGGAAACCCATGCGAACGCAGGGAGAACATGCATACCCCACACAGAAACGCCAACTGACCCAGCAGAGGCTCGAACCAGCGACCTTCTTGCTGTAAGGCGACAGCACTACCTACTGCCTCTTATATATATATATATATAAATATAAATATAAAAAAAATATATTATTATGAGTACATATACTCATTTTGCCTGGAAATGTGCATACTCACCTACAACATAATAGGAGAAAACAGTACGTGAAGAAAGAAGTACATTTGAAACTTCAGTGATCAAAACAGGGTAGGTGAGAAATCCCCGGATGCCCTACTGCTTCAGACCAGACTCCAGAGTGTTCTCAGATGGTTACTTATCTATCCCAGGAGGCCATGGGACAGCATTCGGCACGGAGAAAAAGAAGCAGGAGAAGAGGATACGTCATAATATTGAGAGAAAACGGGACGCGGACGCTTTGAAACGTAAGTTATTAGAAAGCAAAGAGAAGCCCCCCTGAGTTAAATCGCATGTGTTGAGCTAACGTTAGTGTACAGTGAACTGTAGAGTTGATGATTATTAAATGTCTGACATAAATATATGAGAAGTGTTTTGATCAGCAAATGACAACATTAAACAGACACCTGAGTGAGTGATGTGTTTGTGCTGATGTAGAATTCACTGTTGTCGACACTGTTTACATTAGCTAATGTTAATATTGATAAATGATAATTCATTTGTTTTATGTGTTCATTTGTACAGTATAGGTGATAATGAGGAATTTATTTATTTTTCTTTATTTTCGAACACAAAATGACATCAGTCTTTAAAAATTACTTCTTTGTTTTGCATGATTTAAAATGTCGTCAGACTGGTGCCGTGTGCATTGAGGATGAAGAAGCGCAGCAGTGTGCTGGAGATGATGTTGGAGATGCTGTAGTGCTGTGGACGAGATCCTGAGAGACGTTGCTGTGGTCTCTTCATCTTCAAAATCGGTTTCTCAGGCATGGACAGCTTCATGTCTCAACCCCGTTTTAGTCTGACTGCATAAGGGATGATGCTGATGATGATGACAAACACAGATAAAGACCTGATGATCATCTGCAGAACCAGCTCGGAGATGCAGCAGAACATGCAGTTAGAGCAAGTTTGAATAAAGCTTTAATTGTTTCATGTGTTGTGGACTTATTTGTCTTGGTTATTTTTATTCATTCTTTTAATCATATATTAATGTTTCCTTTTATGGTCAATAAATGAAATGATAATTTTTCTATAATGTATACATTATTTCATATTTTGACAGAAAATGAAGATGTACTCACATTGGCTACATTTGTCTAGTGACTAATAATGCATCACTTTGAATGGCCTACAGAAAGTAATAGCACACTATTGATGCCATTAGAATAAAATATTACAGTAATTCTCCATATATTCTGGTATATATATATATATATATATATATATATATATATATATATATATATATATATATATATATATATATATATATATATATATATATATATATATATATATATATATATATATATATATATATATATATATATATATATATAAGAAAAAGGCGTTGAAAACCAGGTACATTTGTCACGTTACTGATGCGAGGTGCTTCTGTCCCTGTTATCTTATTTATTATTATAGGATTGTTAAAATTGTTAATAATTAAATAACTTATAATTCATACAGGATCTGAAAAACGTGGCTGTATTGTTTGCAATTAACAAAAATTACGTAAATGTAATGGGTTTCTTGTAGTATATGAGATTGTATGCACACA